AGAGTGACGTGTGACCCCGCTGTCGCACACCGTTAACCGACCTGACGCTCTGTGCCCGTGCGACCCTGCGTGCTTTCCTAGAGGGCTGGCCCCAGGGTCGTCCCCTGCATCTGAGCACGAGGGACCGCCTCTGGGCCACCCAGGGCAAGTCCCTCACTCAAGGTTTTGTGGGGGCAGTGAGAGTCCTGGCTCCATTCGGCCATCCCCACTTCTCAGACTGTTTTGGGATGACTGCAGTAGCCGTGGGGGGATGGGGGGGTGGGGGCGGGGCTGAGGCTGAGGACTCGCTGGGGCCCCGAGTCCAAAAGAGCCCTTGTGTTACGCGACGCACAGACAGCTCTGTCCCACCACTTCCTCTCTGTCCCCAGGGGACCTCTGAGGGCAGCTGGCAAGAGTTGCTGAGAAAGACATGTCCCCCCCCACAACTCCACATGCGTGGGAGGAGGTCCACGCCTGCCAGACCAGGACAAAGGGAGCCAGGAGGGCCGGCCCCAGGGACCCGCCGCCCGGCCGCACAGCTCACACCTCTGAGCCCGCAACGCCACCTGAGAGATTTACCCTGAATACATGACTCGAGCAAAGCAAATAACCCACTCTGGCAAGTTTCAGGAACCAGAGGTAAAGTCTCGCTTTGGAAAGACGCAGCCCCGCAGCGGAGGGACGCCAGCGGGGCGTGGAGTGGAAGGGCACCCCGAAACGCAGTTACCAGAAAGCGCTCCTCCTTCTCCAGCCAGCGCTGGTCCTCCTCCATCTCCTGCTGCTGCCGGATCAGCCGCTCCTCCATCAGGTGTGGCGGCAGCACCTGGCCGAGGCCCCGCAGGTCCAGTGCTGCAGACTCCTGGAGTTAAAAACAGCACGTCTGCTCTCGGAAGTCTAGTTATGGGGCGCTGACGTGTGTGTGCACGCACCTTCCCCCAAAATAAAGCAAAACAGCGTGGGTGACGGAAACGGTCTCCGGTGCCGTGGGCTGAGCTAGCGTGCGCTCAGCACGCTTAGAAGGTACAAAATCGGTTTGATGTTAGCTCAGCTCCCGTCGCAGGGGTTTAGTTCAGGAAATAGGCTGAGACACGGGCAGAGAATTCGTCGTTCGTCACGGTGGAAGAGTAACGATCTGGAGGTGGAATAAGGGTCAACTGCAATAGGTGTGCAGCCCGGGGTGCGAACGGGAGGCTGAGTCTTTCTTCCTCGGCCTCGTGTTCATGCTGATTCGACTTAGGGCTCTGCCTTCCAAATGAACGGGCTCATGATGGCAGCATCTCTCCTTTCTTAAGTAAAAAAGATTCACAGAGCCAGAAAGCATTTGTGTAGATGGAGTATCCTGAACTAGAATTAGGTCACTGAGGTCAATAAACTCTAGGGTTCAGAAAGACAAGGTGCCCTGGGCGAAGCTTCATCAGCTGAAGCCCAAGAACACCCAGCTCACCTCCGCGGTGGGCTGCCACGTCGCCGTCTCCTGCGGCCTGTGATTCCACGGGTCCGCCTGGTCCAAGAGAGCTGCCTGCCCCGGGTAGATGCTGCTGGCCATGGCTGTTACCCCATGTGGAACGGGGTAGCCAGAGACCTGCGGAGGAGCAAGCGGCCGGGTCAGGCTCTGACACAACGTGGCTTATGCACAGCTCTGCTTCCCACATGAAAGGAAGTAGCTAAGATTAAACAGAACGCTGTGGCAGCGGAATAACGGTCCCCAAAAGACGTCTTTGTCCTATCCCCCGGAGCCTGTGAATATGGCACCTCACACGGCAAAAGGACTTTGCAAAGGGATTATAAATCAGGGATCTTGAGATGGGGCGATCGTCCTGGATGCTCCGAGTGGACCGGATGCTAGCCTAGAAGACGGAGGAAGGAGGGCGTGGGCCGAGGGGTGCGGGTGGCCTGCAGAAGCTGGGAAAGACAAGGGAGTGGATCCTCAGCTAAAACCTCAAAAGCAGCACTCTGCCGTGGTCGCGTTAGACAGACTGCACGGATACGCGCTGAAGGGTCGGAGACGGCCCGCTCCGAATCTCACGCTCACTGCGACACTGAGCAGACGACCCGGCCGTGAAACAGCGGAAGCCGCGAACGCAGCTGGGTGGCGCGCAGCTCCACGACGCCCTCTCCTGCCCAGCGCCAGACAACCGACCCCTGCCTCTCCCCGCCGTCAGGGATCAGGGCAGATGGGGAGAAGCCAAGTGCACGTTCTAACAGTGATGACCAGCCAGAGAAAAGACGCTCGGCTGGAGCCGGGGAAAACGCCGTGGAGCGGGCGAGCAGCGGGTGTCTGTAACGGGTCCCTGCTCGAGCCCGAGGGATGCGGTCAGTACGCGCCTCCAGCACCCACCCGGCTAGAACTGGACGGCCAGGGGCTGGTTAATTCTTTAATGAGATAAGGCACAGCCAAATTCCTATCTCCCCACAGCAACACACCCTTCGATTAAGGCCTTGTGTAGCTGTTAGGTCTCCAGGCAGCAATGTCTACCAATCCACACTGACGATGCGTAGCTAACAAAACTTTCAAATAAAACTCAGAGTTCTCACACTTTACTAGAATGAAAACATTTAATAATAAAAAGTGCCACTAAACATAAAATGCTACATCACTACTCTTTCTGGTCAGAATGAACATGTCACTGCCAGAAAACTTACAGAAATTTCACAACCAAGAGACGTCAAATGATCTCGGGCAGTTTTCTACGTGACACCAATCACGTGAAAGGATCAGAAGAGCATCTGGGGCCGAAAAGGAACATAAATGACACCAGGAAACGTCTTAGAGCTGTTCTCATTTACGAGCTAAGGGAACGCGGGGCTTGGGAGAGGCTAATCGTTTATCTGTTCGATGAGAAAAAAACGAATGTCTTAACTTAGTCACTGAACTTTCTGCACACTGGTCTAGGCGCCTAGTAGAAACCAGTCCCCCTCCTCAGGGGCTTCCGCTCGATGGGGACAGACAAGCGCCTGTAGACGCCCCGGGCCCCAGGTGGTGCGGGTGCCGTGGCCCGGTGTGCCCCGGCACAGCGCGAGGTCCCCGAGGCTGCCGGGCTCCGCGTGGGC